GAACGTGCCAACCCCAGAGAGATCATCTTAAGAATCATCACTCTTATTTCATGGAAGTTTTGTTCATTGGATTTTGTTACTCGTTGAATCGGTTACCTCGATTATTGCAACGATTCAGTCCCGATTTCGAGCACTCATTGAGGTTCATTTTAAGAATCATTGCTGTATTTGCGTTCGAGCCTTTGAGAACCTTGTCTTTCTTTTTCTGGATGGGCTAAATTTGTAGTTGGGATTTCCTCTTAATTCAGCAAGAATCCCCCCCCATCGATGGAACGGTCGACTAAAAGAACCCGATTGGTTTCCACGAGTAATTCCTGGTTGCACAGATCGCTGCAATTCCGTGGACGATTGCCATGAAATTCAGAGGAATTTCCCCGGGCCGTCTTTTCCTTCTCTTCTTCTCTACTCTCCGGTCGTTCGATCCATCTCCTGTCGATTTTCTCGTCTACCTTTCCGGGTCGTCTTGTCCCTCGTCCTCTCTTGTATCGACTCAATGCGACAAATTAGATCGTTGCGCCCCGTAGACAATTTTTTCAACGATTTTGAATCGCCTACTTTAACCTATCGAGGACTCCCTCTGCATTGCAACGTCGATATCTACGTCATTGCAAAGACAACATTTCCGATTCTTCAAATCAAATTTACTCTCACCTTCTATGAGATACTCAAGACGTAAGCAAATTCCGTAAAATGGTTAATTTTTTTTTTGTCAAACTAATTGCATCCTAAACATAAATAATAATAACTAATCACGAGCAGAGTAATTCCAGAGTAAACCTACCCACAATTTGTCACGGAGCTTATTTTTACAATTAAAATTCAATACTCCCGTCAACATTTATTTCTGTCAGCCTCTTACGTGATATGCCAATTGATCCGTTAAAAAAGAAGCAAAAATCGTTCGTGAAAATATCGGTTCGTCGAAAAGATACACCGGGATCCGTCGTGTTTCAATTAATTAAAAAGCACCGGAGGTTGAAGCGCGACGTAAAAATTCTTTTTTTCACGCTTAAAAGAACGCGCGGACGCTCTCGTTTCGATGACACACCCTCTTCGAGCCGCTCCATAAATTGCAGGGTAATCTCTTTCTTCGGCGAGCCGCTGAAAAGGAGAAGGCCCCTCCGTCGTTCCGCCTTTCATCCGCGGTCTGCTCGGCCCCTTCCGGTTCGGCGAGCCGATCGAAGCTGTCCGGGTGTTTAATTAAAATGATTTTAATTGCGAAAATGGAGTCGAGCGATCTCTCAGCCCTTTGTAATTTCATCTTTGACGATCCGCGAACCGGTCTCGACGAGCCCCCCGGTTCTTCAATCGCGCTTCCCGACGATGTATTTTCGTTACAAGATTCTTTCGCGCTCGATGCTCTCTTTGTCGCCTGAAAATCTTCACGGGAGGAAATCTGTCGACGTTTCGAAGAATTTTGCGAGTATTTGCGTTATTTAGACTCGGCTGATATTTAACATTGATTCTTGTTCATGGATGATCGACACCAACGCGCTCTATGAATCGATGCCTGCAGTTACGTTATAGGTTAGTTCGTTCCGTATGACGATACTGCAGTGATGCCCTCTACTGGTCTCTGCTGGCCACTGCTGGCCAGGAATAGGAATAGGAATAATAAAAGAAAATTTTTTTTCCCATTAAAATGTGGGCAGAGAGTCTTAAAACGTGTATTTCCGTAAGAAAAATTTCACAAAATTTTTTTTCATTATAGTACCTTGCTTATGTTCGTCTACATACATAGGTCAGAAAGTAAAAAATACCTGGGCAGTCGAGACTTGGAATCGTATGCCATTGACGTGAGGTCGAATTTCAGATGTTCAAGAGTGAGAAGGCAAATGTGAGCCTTTCTCTCTCGACTCCCACGAGACTGTCCGAAATTACTTCGGGCAGCTTCGGAGAATCGAGAAAGAGGGCATGTGTCAGTTTGCCTTTGTCGACTCACCGACACTCTACGAGCTCACGTACGCGTGATCTGGCATAGTGTGAGAAAGTGGAATGAGGGCTCCGTCTGGGTTAGGTCAGTCTGAAACAAATTTTAGGGTTATGTGGCGCCCACGTCTGAAATCAAAAGTTTAGTCTTGCAGAATATTGTACGGTTTTGATTCGTCAGTGGAACGTATTAGCACCTGTTATTCTGTAAAACTGGACTCTACAGACTCCCAAGAAGAGTGTTTATTTAACAGATTTAAGAACACTGATTGCACGAACAAATTATTCTTATCCGAAATCTTTCATTTTTCCTTTTAATCAGAATATACATTCACATCACTGTATTTTTACAAGTTCAACATGAATTACTAACAAATAATATCTACTTGCTGGTGTTTATTCGATAGGTTTACGAACACCGATTGCTCGAACAAATATGGCCGCCGTGATTCTAGCATCAAGTTAAATTTATGGCGCCGAAAATAAAAAAATCTGCCCCGAAAGGGACTCGAAACGTTCGAATGGAGTTTTCTCGACCGAAAAATGAAAGTAGTTTCTTTCGATTCGTCGAAAAAGGGGTGAAAGAGACGGATTAAGTTTCACGACGATGACGTAGGACCCGGGGAATGCAGTCGCGCACAAATCGTTAGCGGAACCTCGAAAACCCTCGTTTCTGATTTTCGTCGAAATCGTCGGAGCTTCTTCTTTCTTTGCTTCGGTGCAAGCTTCCTGTGCTCGTCGACGCGAGACGTTTTTTGCTCCCGTCCGCCGTGAGGCGATTCCCTTTTGCGCGCCAAGGACGAACTAGGGCGTTAAAACGATCGACAATTCGAATTTCAACCGAATCGCGAGACATTTTTGTTACCGGAACGAATCGCTTGATATATTTTTCTTTTTATTGCATTCCTTATTTTAGTCTGAAACTACATTAAATTAAATATTATTTAACAAAATTTTTGTTCTATTCTTAATTGATTTAGACAGCAATCTGTTACAATCTTTACAGTATCATGACACTTCTGTGTATTATTATTATACTTACATTGTAATAAATTATTTTAAGTAATTTTGTTTTGTCGAACGTGTCTCTCGCAATTTACAGAAGGCAATTAAAGAGGCAGAGAATTGAAAATAATTCCGCCGACAATGCCCCCCGGTGAAATATTACAGGGAAATGCAGGCGTCGCTCTGCTTCCTTCTATATCGAACGAGTAATTCATTATGCTGAAAGGAGAATTAATTAAGACGAATCATAATTGGACTTCGTTGTTACAATTTACCGTGTTTCGTGACAAAAGTGTCCCGTTACTACTGAACTAATAGCACGGAGAATTATATTTCTCTTTGTGCCCCAACGGCTGAGATCCCTTTCCCGTCTGGGATCTGCACTTTTAATTCGGTCTTACGAACTTAAATATAAATCCGCGCTCGAAACGGCCGGAATTTAATACTTTGTCGGAACTCGTTACGCGTATGAAAAATAGGAGTTAAATGTTGCTACTCGGGAGTTGACTTTAACACATTTACGAGTCGACTCAGAATGCAAAAAAATATTCAGTCAACGTGTTCACTGTCCGGTTTCTCAGCGGCTTATCTAATAGCGTGGCGGTGTGCCACACATATGGGTCACGAGCAGTGAACATGTTGAAATAAAATTTCAACAAAATTCAAAAGAAAAAACACTCGACGTGACCAAATGCATTCACTGTCCGGTTTCTCAGCGGCTTATCTAATAGCGTGGAGGTGTGACCCATATGTGGGTCACGAGCAGTGAGCATGATGAAATAAAATTTCAACAAAATTCAAAAGAAAAAATACTCGACCTAATTAAATGCATTCACTGTCCGGTTTCTCAGCGGCTTATTTAATAGCGCGGCGGTGTGACCCATATATGGGCCACGAGCAGTGAACGTGTTGAAATAGAATTTCAAACAAAATTCAAAATTTCATTCAAAAATTTGAAAAAAAAAAACACTCGACGTGACCAAATGCAGATCGAAATTTATTACGATTAAATGTCGTTAGGATAGCCTAGTTCCAGAGTAATAAATAATTCAATTTATCTATGTTTAATGGCCCTTCTATTATTATAATCCAAAATGGCCCTTGAAAATCCAGCGCGTGGCAGCCGGCGTTGACGCGTGGCCAAAATCCGGGCCAAATAGAAAATTTCCTGGGCGATCGTTCGCCGGATAATCGTTCGCTCGTCGCTGGCTGGATTTATCGTGATTTACGGCGATTGGCGGCGATTTCGGTAGGCGATTTATTCTTGGACCATCGAGCACACGAGAGGAGGGAGAACGTTGGGGCGCGTACGTCGTGCCAATTTGTAATTAATTACGAAACAATCGCGCTCGCGCGACACTATTTAAAGGTTATAATAACGGGATTAATGGACGCGAGGCGGACTTGGAAGGCTACCCACAAACGCGTCTCAGCTCTTATCATCTTTCTCTGGTTACGTAAACTTGGGGTGTCCGTTCGAGCACAGCGATTTATCGTCGCACGTGCACCGCGCAACCGCTCGTTGCACCTGTTGTTCCGGCTGGAAACGGCGAGAATTTTGCCCCACCGCCACTGGGGACCATGACAGTATCTCTCAAACGGTCCACGAACGAAGGAAGCAACGTCAATTTTTAATGTTTCTTAAAAAACGAAATTTTTAATTTTTTCCTTGCGCCACAACACGCTTCTCTGTGTTGGATCACGTATGCGTGACAACGGCTGGAATATTAACGTGAATTGAATACTCAAATTAAAAAGAAAATTAAATTTTGTTTTTGGACAACTGGAAACTAGCCTACCAAGAATTTATCATGGAATTTATTTTCACAGAAAACCTAACTCTACCTACCTCTACCCCTTAGGCTCTACCTAACTTTATTTTATTTTGCATCTAATCTTGAGAATTAATTTTTTTAACTCCTTGGTGAAAAGTCGGTGACGGTCATCCATGCGTGGGTGACGTGGCAGTCAATGTGTTAAAGTGTCAAAAAATTTCCGCTCGTCATTTGGAAAATCAAAGAGACTCCAACCGATCTAATAATAGAATTGTTCTTTTTTTTTTGCAGGACTCCGGAAAGTGTACCCTTATTACTTCACCTTCACCACATTCACGAAAGGGAGATGGGTCGGGGAGAAGATTCTCGAGGTGTTCGCGCGGGAATTCCGCGCCCATCCGGCGGAAGAGTACGAACGATGCATCCGGGCCGGGACCCTGACGGTGAACTATCAAAAGGTGGACGTCGATTACAGATTACGGCACAATGATCTGCTGGCCAACGTCGTTCACAGGTAAGACAAAACCAGAACCTAACAATTCGTATGCGTCGTACGGGTGCAAAATTGATCGTCCAACGAAACGAGTCTAAATCCGTTAAATCGTCACAATACCTAATTAAAGCGTAGCCGGGTCACGGCGATACAGCGTTCGATAAATCTGAATATCATTCATTGCCAACGCGACTGAACTTGGACACTGCGTCCATCCGGAAGTCGTGAATACTAACAAGTATTAATAGCAACAGAAACCTCGAATCTCGAACTTGAATATTCCTCTCTCGTACAAATTTCATTTTATCTCGCTTACGAGTTATTTTTAATTCTCGAGAATTTTAATAAAATTGCAAAATAAAAATATTAAATTTTGCAATATAGAAACTCTGTCGTGAATATAGACTGGAATATATTTTATAGTAAACGCACGGAGAACGACCAGAAAGTGAATGTGAGGCGCTCGAAGTCGCAAGCGAGCCGCATTGGCCGTCCAAGGTCACCTCAGTGGCTCCCCCTAACACTCCACTCGAGAGTCACCCGAACGCTCCGCCTCCTGACTCTTGGCTCCTCCCCCCGGAACACAATCTCTTCCACACACGAGCTCTTTGGCGCTAAAATTAAATAACTGACTTTGAAATTAAATAACTTTAAAATTAAATAATAAAATTAAATAATAAAATTGAAACGTTCAAAACGACAATCACGTTTGCACCTTGGACGGTCGCTACACTAAACAAGAGGGACCACGACGCAGATCCGTGGTCTTTCCTGTGTATCATGCGTATATACTGTGAACCTGAAGTGTGTGTCGTCCCGATCATTTTTCATTCCCGCGATCGAGCTCGAGAATCATCGATATCGAAACGGCGGAGCAAAGCAAGTAAACCTGATCGAATAACCGCGATTCGTCTGTTCCGTCTGGGATCAGAGAAACTGCTTTACCGACGGACGAGGCGAAAAAAATACCAGACACACACGCACACAGAGACACCTACAGGGAAAGTTGCGCTAGGATAAAATGGCTGAGCTTCGTGAGCCACCACGACGCTCGTCAAATTTACCAAACGCTCGTGCGGTCGCGGTAATATTATTTGCCGTACAAACAGCGGGGATAGATAGGAGCTGTTCGAAACGATGGGATTATTTCGTGTCAAGGATGGGAATTCTTTTCCCCCTCCGAACGATACACGGATACGTCGGTTTGTTGATTCGATTCCGGGAACCGAAACGCTCGGAATTATTTAGCATTTGAATATTTTATGGGAAATTCGGGTGCTTCGACTCCGTTTTTGGATATTAGAATGATCGAATGAAATTTTAATACTCGAAATTCCAATGCAAACGAATGGTAATGCCTGACAAAAATTTTGGGAGAAATTTTCTCGGTAATAAATTGTTTTCAATCAATTTTGGATTACAGAAGCGTTCAAATATCTGCTAAATGGTAATCATTAGGTTTAATAGTGGTGGATTTAGAACGTGGAACTTGTTAATCGTGTATTTTGTTAATCCTCCATTTTGGTTTTTACGTGGCGGGAAATAATTCTCGTTCAAATTTTTTTCGAAGCTTTCACAATCGTTAATGAATGTTGTACCGTATTATGTACTTCAAAATAATGATTTTCAATTATGAAAATTATTTATAAAAAAGTGGAAGAAATATGCAAGAATTTGTTCGTTGTATAAGGTTTTATTTGAACGATTTTTAATGTCGATTTTGTTAAGCATACAGGGTATAGTGATTTTGTTAATCAACTAGGTTTAATAACAGTGAATTTAGAACGTGGAACTTCTGTTCATCGTGTATTCTGTTAATCCTCCATGTTGGTTTTTACGAGTAATGGCCGCCGCGCCAGTGGCGGGAAATAATTCTCGTTCAAATTTTTTTCCAAGCTTTCGCAATCTTTAATGAATATTGTATTGTATTATGTACTTAAAAATAATGATTTTCGAAGGTGAAAATTATTTATAAGAAAGTGGAAGAAATATGCAAAAATTCGTTCGTTGCATCAGGTTTTATTTTAACGATTTTTTCGTCGGTTTTGGTAAGCATACAGGGTGATTCTACACTACTGATTTCATAGAGTTTATTTATGCATTAAATAATGTAAATTTTAAACTGTAAACGTTTCTCAATAGTCGAGGTTGGTTACCTTTGACTTGTTCCTGCCACGAACGATCTTAAGATTGAATCGAGTGGCCATAAATCATTTAAAAGAAGTTCGAGGCCAGCGATTATCTCATCCCCGGTGAATGTCAGACGCGAGCATGGGCAAAAAAGTCAGAATAAACCTACATCCAGAGTCCACAATACCAATCGAAACGATCGTGTATAATACTCATAGATAAAATCGTTATTTATTAGTCTCGTTAAATGTCAAACAACATCTCGTTAATCTGTCATTCTTAAATTTATTTTCAAAGTTAAAACAACGTATAAAATTCTAATTAAGAGCCACCAAAAAAACAGTTTTCTTAAACAAAGGGAAACGAAATTAATTCAGAGATTGGAAGGGGTCCGTTCAATTTTTACGATCTTCCAAATCTGTTCTAGTTTCGTTATAATCAGAAATTCAATTATGTCTGTGCACGGTAATTCCGTTGAAATCACTTTTGTAGCGATACACGAGATCGGACAGAAGCAAACGCAGATTGCATTAATTAATCCCAAACTTGATTCCGTATCTAATGTCATATTACGGCTTAATTGGATCGCAGATCCAAGGATCTTCCTACTTTACTTTCATAAACAGAGATTTAACGCCAACGTATCTCCACAGAAAATATTTTTAAACTGCAATTATTAATTCTACAATTTTCTTCTGGGGTCTCCAACGACCCCTACGTGTTCCTAAATTATTTACTAGTTTAGAAAATTTTTTTTGACACGTTTAAATAATTAAGTAATACATTCTCACGTTCAATCCTTCTAACGGAGTTAATAAAATGGAACAAAAATATTTTCAAAAATTACTTATTTAAGGGGGGTACTGTGAAGGCTGGAAATAGGAGGCAATTTTCAAGAATTTTTTGGACGTTGCTATGAAACTTTTTCTGATAAATGATAGAAATAATAGAATATGAAATAATACAAAAATTTTCAAACGAATATAACTAAATAGCAGTTAGTTTCAAGCATTATACGTATTACATGTTCTACAATTTTACTATATTTTAGTCGTTCTTAAATTCCACGAAGCATTGAAAAGAGATAAAAGAGTCACTGTGGGGGGTTCCCCCCCTTAACAAAGATACGAAGATCTGTCTGGGATGGAATTTTCCGGTAATCGGAGATCCTCAGAAACGGTTAGCGGGCGCGCGACGTTGCCGTTGAAATCGCCTTTCGTCGAACCGCCCAGCGACGCGAACGTTACACCGGAACGAGCCAAAAGAGTTGGAAGCACGTCGAAACAGTGAAAACGCCGCCGTCTCCAACCGAGTGTTTCCAAGTGCGAATGACAAAGGACTCCCGTTATCCTCACGGTATCCTTGACACGGATATAAAAGGAATCCGTGTACGCGGCGACTCGACTCGCTTCTAAACGCGTCGCCGCTCAACGAGCGCTTCTATTATCAGCGCTGTTATCGTATACCGGCACGAGGTTGCGATTTTTGCCACTTTCAAGGACCGTCGAGATGAAAGAAAAGACGTCTCGCGCGACAATTTCCACGGGTTTTCTTTTCAATTTCAGTTGGGCCACGTGTCGTTACCATCTGCGAATTTAATATAACCTTCGTGCTCGTTCTAGATTTCTCGCTGATCTCCGTACGAAAAAAAAAAATGAAGGATAAACGATACACTCAGCGCCCCCTCCCCCTTCTTGATGGTTCGATTAAGCAGAGATTCATTTTGTAAGGATATACGTTCATTTCTGTAGTCATTCTTTTTATTTTGTTTCGAGAATTAAAGGTGATCGAAACTAGTCTTAAAGTCGAAAGTTTTAGGTTAAGTTGATTATGAGTTACCACTTTATACAAGTTCGATTAATTAGAGATTCATTTTGTAAGGATATACGTTCATTTCTGTAGTCATTCTTTTTATTTTGTTTCGAGAATTAAAGATGGTGGAAATGGTACTTGAAAGTAGTTTTAAAGTCGAAAGTTTTAGGTTAAGTTGATTACAAGTTACCATTTTACCCAATTTTGTTACCCTTCTCGGTTGTAGTCTGTATATAACATCAGCAGTACTTATTTTTGTAACCCAAAATTCTATTTAGATTTATTTCTCTTAGCATCTCGTCTTGGAAATTAATTTCTTCACCTCATTAACGTAGATACTGTGTCCATTCAGGACGTTTCTTTTCACCTCCCTACTTTACCACCCTAGTTCGACACTTTATCGAGCGAACTTGTACTAATTACGACGGTATATTCAAGTCTATGGCAACCCTTACCGCAGTCACCACTAGAGGGCTACGCTCTTGACTTTCTCACAAGTGCTCGACCAACTAGCTATTCCTACATATACCATTCAATATTCCCTTGTCTAAGGTAGGACCTGTTAGGAGTGAGTCTACTATAGTATTATAAATCACCACAAATTGATTCTAGCCAACAACTAATTAAATAATTCTCTGCCTATAGAAGCGACCATATACGTCAAAAATTTGTAACATCCTCCAGGAACGAGTCTCGATGGTCGTATTTCTTGCTCCGGGGAGCCTTCGTTTATAATTATTCTTCCTCGACGATTTGCATTGAAATGGCGTCGACATTGAAATTATTCCATTGATTACATCGGAACTCTTACACCGGCCGTGCATAATATCCAGGTCAGCGATGTTTAGTGTAAATAACGAGCGACGTGTCTATCACCGCCGGCGAAGAAATCGTCTCCCTGTCGATGGTTTCGCAACGGCTGAGCGCGCGAAAGCCTCGGCTCGACGAGGAAACTCGTTTCTCCGGGTGAAGGTCGCGACGGGATAGATCATTCGGGTCGGCCCCCGTGTTCCACGCGGTAAACAATAAAACGCGGATGCTGACGTCACCCGACGGTTGGAAAGATCGTCTTCGAGCGA